CAGGCTGGTGTCAGACAACGTTCAGCCCAGGAGGAGGAAGGAGGGCTCTCAGCGGCGTTGCCCAATTCAGAACCACACAGATGCAGTTTTACATTTTCCTTCTAGGACACTAGGGGCTTGATTGCAGAGGACATAATTTGTTTAAACAGTTAGAATACTAGTATCTTCGGGCTATAATTGGGTTTCTTTATTAACAAGACTATTTTGCAAGTGTGCCGTTGACCTAGGACAAGTCTGGGATGATAGCAGAGCATCATCTTAAGGCATTTGCATTGTAGCACAGTGTGCAATTTATAATTTTGACACATAATTGGTTGGTTTTGCTCCATACCTGTCTAAAATTCAGCTTTTCCACATTTTTACAAAATCTGAAATCCTTTTGCAGTCAAAAGAAACCTTTCATGTCTCATATAAACTTAAGTGAAATGACACGTCTTGCATTTTCAAAAGCAAACATGTGTTATTGCTTTCCAGGTTATCAAGCACTGGTGATCACTAATATGGAATTTAACCATAAATCAAATACATCACTCAGTCTCTTCTGTGTCCTCTGGTGTAAATCACATAAAGGTGTACAAAATGGATAATACAAATTATAGTACCTTTGTGCTAGGTGTAAACATAATGGGAAATGCAGAAACTTGAATGTTGCATTTAACATTTGAAGAGTTGACTTCCTAGGTAAAGATTTTTTTAAAACATGGTGTGTCGGCACATCATTCATCTTGAGGATTTTGGACTTCTGAGGAGCTTTGTCTTCAGCTCAGTATTAAAGTGCCTTAATTGGAGTAATTGGAATAAAGGTGCTGGAAGGAGGCCTCGTGGCAGAGGGATTTGGTCTCAAGAGAACTCTACTGTAATACCGCTTAAGTGGTGGATGGCTTGCAAAAGGAGGTGTATTTTTTGTGCCAACCCTACTGTGAAGCAGACTACCCTTGAAGCTCCCAGGAACCAGTTTGACCCTGTAGGTGCTCTGGCCCTCCTTTGGAACAGACGCCAGCCCAGCCGTTCTGGAATACAACAGACCCCTCCCAGTTGATGTTTTGAGCTACTGCAAAGTAGTACTACTGAGCTTTGTGCTAGGAATATTTAAGCTGCACTAATCCCATCTGCCGTAAAAAAAAAATAATAATAATCCTGTTCCACAGCAGATCTAACTCGCGTGAGCTTTCCTGGAATAGCAGCGTACGGATGACGTGACCCTTCTCCCTTTGAAAGTGCTGAGAACAGTGTGTGTGTGGCTGTTTTTGATTTCTCAGAGGTGATTCTGATGTCCCCCAAATAGATCAGCTGTGCTTTTCCCCAGCTAACCCGGTCGATTCTTAGACTCCTCTCTGCCTGGCCATGAATGTTAAGGGTGCAGAAAAAGAGGCAGGCGTCTATGCAAACAAGTCTTGGGGGCTCCCCTGGATCGCAAGCGCTGGTGGCCTTGCCCCCCAGGGCCTTTCTGCACCTCTTGAGAAGCTGCTCATCTCCATCTGAGCCCAAGCTGGAGCAGCTTCTGTCATAGCTACTAAATGTAGCTCAAGTGCAGCCCCTCAATTGATTGGGTGGTTCAACTCGCATCACAGTGCTTATCTGTGGTTTTATTACAATAAATATATATATATTCTCATGCAGCATCTTGCATCTGGTCTGTTCCTGTGTGGTGCTGAGGAGCCACAGGCCTCAGCTTGCGCGGGTGCCTCCTGTGGCAGGCTGGCTCTCTGTTCCAGGAACATCTTCCACCAGGAATCATGAACTGTGTTCGATCTATGCATTGGGGGGGGGGGAGGTCAGGTGTGCAAAACCTTGTGGCGCAGCCTTTGCCCGTTGACTCAGAAAGACGGCTCCCCGGGGCACCGTGAGCCTTACTCCATAGGAAGCATGGCATGGAGTTGGTTTCATTGGGGTCCCAGGGGGAAGCATTTGTGCGCTTCCCCCTTCTCTGGAGGCCTGGGAACCTCTCCATGTTGGTGTAGGATGAGGCCTCTAGCCAAAGCAGGGAATTGGGGAGGTTGGCCAAGTTGGCAGGTAGAGTTTGGGCTAAGGCTGATTAACACCGTGATTGCTTAGAAGTCGGGTAGGGATATTTCAAAGGAAATCCCAGGGTGGGTCAGAGCCCGTGGGGAGGGCCCCATACATTGTTTTGGCTAAGGGATACAAAGCATTTGACGTGCCATTTCATGTGCCTGCCTTTTTATTTTTGGCTTTCAGTGGGTTGTTTTCTTCTTTACTTGTGTAAGAGCATCCTATGAGCGAGTTGGTGGCCTGGCCTTGTCTCTCTGTTGTCCGCTCCTCTGGCCTCTCCTGCCGATCACGTCCGGTGCCTGCAGGCATCCTCTGTGAGGCCAGGAGATGCTGGCATGTTCCAGAACTCCTCTGCTGGTCTCTTTGCAACCTCCCTCGGGGTTTTCAGGGGGAATGAGTCTGAACCCAAAGGCGTTCTTGCCGGGGAAAAGGGTCCCCTTGAGGGGACGCCCGTCTTCCCTGGGGGAGCCCTCTTACGGGCAAGAGGGGCTCTCCCTCGTGTCCAGGCAATCGTGTGCTCTGCTCTTATGTCGTGGGGATGGGGGTGGGGGATGTCCTCATAGCTTGTTTTTATTTTATTTTGTGCTTCAAATTAACAGTATTAAATATATTCTTAGAACACATGAAGTGTCTTTCCTTACGATTAGTGCCTTTTTTGTTCTCTTACTGAATTTACTTCACTGCTGGTCCCACAGCAAGCCAGTGTGTTCCGTTCCCCGTTTGTATACTCTCAATAAAACATGCCTCCCAACTCGCAGCACGTGTGAATTGTCCTTTTTGACTCCGACTCTGCCTGGCGGCTTCTCACAGGCCCACCTTCCGTCCCTCAGGCCGGCGGTCAGTCTCCCCCCCGAGACAGGGCCAGTGTGTTCCCCGTTTGTATACTCTCAATAAAACATGCCTCCCAACTCGCAGCACGTGTGAATTGTCCTTTTTGACTCCGACTCTGCCTGGCGGCTTCTCACAGGCCCACCTTCCGTTCCGTCCCT